TAGCTTAGAAAGCTTGTAAGTCTTGCAAATTTGACTAAGTGTCAAAAATGCAAATATCTCACATTAGAAGTTTGGATGGAAATCATATTGTATATAATGTGGAGAACCCATAACAAGGTTTAAAAATCTTGTGTACACTTTGGTGTATTAGAGAAAGGGGATATCCGGGCCGAGTTTTGTTTTTGGGCTACGAGATTTGGTAAATGGGTTGTTGCCCATATAATTATTCTTTTGGTCCAAATTTATTTTGAAAATATTTTGTTGATTAAGTCAACAAATATTATATCTCCTTAATTGATTTTAGCGTTAAAAAGAAATCATGGGTGATGGATTTTTTGTAACTGAAAAAATCATCCCACGTGTAATGTGAAATCAGTTTCCATTACTCCACTTTCCTCTCCACATTAAAAGCTTGTTAGAAGAACAAGTCTTCCTCCTCTCAATCGATACATAGAGAAACAAAACAATCTCCTTCTTCTTCTTCCCTCTAGTTTTTGAGTCAGAGAGTGCAACACAGTTTTAGGGTTCGTTAGATGTTGATTTCGAGTGATACGAGACAACATGATGAAGCAGTTTTATCCTGGGATTCTTGAGCGTATCAAACCGGCACACTACGGGCGTTTAAAGAATTAAGAAGCGAGATCTTAATCTTGACTCTGCTCACCTCAATTCCAAATCCGTTTACAGTAGTTTATTGGATGTCTTCATATTCATATTGTTCTACAATTTGCTTCAATATGATATCAGTTTGCCCTTGTAAATTTTGGGTCTAACCGTCTTTAGAGTTGGGTCCAGTCCTCAAGGCAGTCCATGTAGGAACAGTTTTAGTCCTCTTGAGCACTCTGTACAGAACTCAAGAGAGGAGAGACCTAATGTTGATTCTTTTGTTCGAGAACATATGACTGATTTAAGAAAGTCAGATCAAGAAGGGGACTTATATCCAGAAAGTCATGAAGTTCTTCAGGGTGAGGAGGATAAGTCACAACAACCACCATTTCGAGAACAACGACCATATCTGGTATCCCCCACCACTTAAGGATGGCACTGAGAGTAGTGGCTTTCTGTACGACGAAGAGGACAGTGATAGTGAACACTTTGCGTCTGAGTTTTCATTGAGCATGAGCTTTTCTAGTCATAATCCAGCCAGAGAAGACCCTCTTAGAACTGTGGAAAATGACCAACTTCGAGCTCTTGTGGCAGAGTTATTACACGGATACAACACCGACTGGCTGGACATCGTTACTACTTTAGCACGGAAGGCTGCAAGTTTCATTAAGCCAGATACTACTAGCATAGGCACCAGTATGGATCCTGGACATTATGTGAAAATAAAATGTTTGGCGTCGGGAAACCCAAACCAAAGGTAGAACTTTCCTCTTTGTATCTTTCCTTATAAACCCTCCAAGTAGATGTCGTATCACAGGTACAAAGAGACAACCGAATCATGATGATTTGTTTACCAAGTGATTTCTTGCTTTAGGTAGA